TTTTTTTTTTTTTTTTGGAGAAATTTGTTTTCACTGTTAGTCTTGAATGAAAAAATGTATTTTTTTTTTAATCAGATCGCCTGGAAAGGCTTTTGTTGAAGGTGATGCATCGAGCGCCAGTTACTTTTTAGCTGGTGCAGCTATTACTGGTGGAACTATTACTGTCGAAGGCTGTGGAACAAGCAGTTTGCAGGTACCTATTATTTGCTAAAAACTGGTTTAAGAGTTAAAAATTTGTCATATTTGCAAATAGAAGTGAATAGTTATTTTATTTACATGAGTTTTTGTGCATTAGTCGTTTGAGGGGTTGCTTTTAATATAGTTGTATCTAATAAATCAAACCCGAAGTAAAATCCAAGTGACAATTTTAGAAGCACCCATCTCCGTAATATTTAAATCCCGATTAAAATATTTCACAACTAGAAGCAAAGTTTGGTATTTTGAACCACTAAACGCTTTTTTTTTGCGCTCAGACTGAAGTTAACTATTTTTTTTTTCTTTTTTTCTTTTTCGTTTTTCGGTGACTGCAAACACTTCCTCAAACACTTGATGATAAATGCCTTTGGTATCAGATAATGTGAATGTTCTAATTTTTTTATTTTTTATTTCTAGGGTGATGTTAAATTTGCTGAGGTTCTTGAGAAAATGGGAGCTAAAGTTACGTGGACTGAGAATAGTGTCACCGTAAAAGGGCCTCCACGTGATGAGTTCGGTAAAAAGCATTTGCAAGCAATTGATATAAACATGAACAAAATGCCTGATGTTGCCATGACTCTTGCTGTTGTGGCTCTCTTTGCTGATGGACCTACTGCTATTAGAGATGGTAATTCCTTCCTCTTTTACCGAGGGTTAAAAACAAGTTTCGCTAACCTCTTTATAACCATGATCATGACAAACATAACAAAAATATTAGTTGCAGTAGAAAATACTCCTTAAAGAGTACAATTCAAATTGCTTGCATTTTAATGCGCACATCAATATATATGAGAAAAGAAACTTACTGTGACCAGTTAGTAAGGGGTCTCAAATAATTGGCCGTATCATGTAAAAACATTTCGGCATTTGTGATGCAATTGCAAAATGGCCCTTGAGTTCAATTAGGGGAAAAACGTGCTTATATTTTAAAATTACAAATTTATCTCTGTGAGTTCATAAGACGTTGGCTCCTCAGGATGCAATTTTGTATACATAAACAAATGTGACAGTTTCAAATGATTTTTTCATGATTAGGCTGACGCTTACCATAATTCCCATTGTTTCGATTTTTTTCCACTTGTTGAAGTAAAATGAACCTTTCGTTTTGCATTCTGCGTGCAGTGGCCAGCTGGAGGGTTAAAGAAACTGAAAGGATGATTGCCATTTGCACAGAACTTAGGAAGGTTTGTTCGTCAAAACCCCTCTTCTCTACTTTCTTTCATCCAGTAAAAACTATACATTTCGATTATGGTTCAGCATAGTTGGAAAAACTACTCCTCAAGTTCGGGGAAATTACAAAAACTGAAAAAAAAAAAAATGACCTTTCGGAAACAATCCCTCTTGGGATTAGGAAAAGATTTCAAAAACCTCCTTTAGATTTTTAAGATTAAACAAACCTCTTTCATTGTCTCTTGTTTGTTATTTTTATATTGAAAGCATTTTTTTTTTGTTTTTAGTTCAAATGTCTGCAAGGTAGTTTCTGTAATCATTAATAACAATTTGGCAAAAAATAGATTTTTAGTCAAATTTTAGTCCCAAGGTTCCAACGTTTTGCCTTTTGGTCCCATGATTTAATATTTTGCTGCAATTTCAGTCATTTGAGAAGGACTGAAACTGCAAAAAAAAAAAGATGAAATTATAAGACTAAAATGCTAACAAAAATCTAAAATATTGTTGCAATTTCAGTGCTTCTTCTATTAGTGAAGTTTCTAGAAAAAAATATATCAAACGACGCAACGCACCTTGGGTCGCTATGGAAACAGCCTCCTTGTATAATTACAAGGGTAAGGTCTGCGTACAACTGACCCCCCAGACCCCAACCTGTTGGGAATATACTGGGTATGTTGATGTTGATGTTGATGAAATTCAGTCCTTCTCAAATGATTGCATTGCAATAAAATATTAAATCACATGACCTTATGGCAAAATGTTAGAATTTTGGAACTAAAAATGCTATGGCGTTAAACTAGCAGGGTAAAAAATGCAATTTCGCCTAACAATTTTATACTTTTTTTTTTTTTATCTGTGTTTCAACTTTGAAAATTCCAGTTAGGGGCAACAGTTGAGGAAGGGCCCGATTACTGTATAATAACTCCGCCCGAGAAACTAAACGTGACAGCTATAGACACGTACGATGATCACCGTATGGCCATGGCTTTTTCACTTGCGGCTTGTGCCGATGTTCCAGTTACCATTAGAGATCCCGGTTGCACCCGTAAAACTTTCCCTAATTATTTCGAAGTTCTTTCAACATTTTCGAAGCGCTGAAAAAGGAAAAGTTCTTTGTATAAGTTCAAAAACGGGCTTTTCACCCGAGTAAAATTTTTCGCCTTTGTGTAATGATCAGAAAATACGGATCTTGAGATGTTGAGATTGTTATTTTTGACTTTGAAAAAACTGTATTTTGGCTGTGAGAGTTGTTTTTGTTTGTAGATGTTGGTAGATTTTGAATGTATTTGTGATTCTGTGTGACTATTTTATTGAAATAAATGTTGTTCACTGTCTGGCTCTGCATCTTAAATGAAAAAAAGCTACTATCTCCTATTTTTAATATATTTTTAATATATGTCGTTTTGAGAAGTTGCACACTAATTAAGAATATTTTTTTTGTCAATAATAACCTTATTTAATGAAAATAGAGATGAATGTTTTGAGAAAAAGTGAATAGTGAATATAAAAAGACGTAATGTATTTATTGACTAAATGAGGGTAATAATGGAAAAATATGTACAAAATATCCAAAATGACATTTATTTAGCAAATAGTTGATATAGCTAGAATGACATTTGAAAAAAATAGGAGGGAGTATTGAATAAAACCTAATTTTCCAATTGCATCTTGTAAATGTAATGAATTTTCAAAATTAAAAGATTTATTTACATAAATTAAAATATTTATTTACATAATAATAGTATATATGCATAAATATCACCGACATTACAGGTGCAATAAAGTCAATATAACATGACATTAAGCAATTATTATTATACAAAAGAGAGTAATCAATTATTATAAAAATACATGACTGTGTGTGTCACCTTTCACGTAGAACTCATCACATGGCGACGAAATTGAAATTATGTTTTTCACTTTTTTTCTCCATTTTTGCCTGGCTTTGTCTTAAATATTAAATTAAATCTGTAATATGTTCACCGTCACGGGTGTACTATAGTCTATAGATTTAAAATTGAACTTATTCAATATGCAAAAATATAATATTACTGTATCTATAGTAGTACTGATGCAACCATAATGATCTGGATTTTTTATTTTTATTTTGATTTTTAATTTTTTTGGCAATATTTACATACGTTTCCTTATTTTCCATTATATGTTTATTCTTTTTGCCTATGAAATTTGAACATCATTTATATATACTTTGAAGTCACTAAAAGGACTTTACCTTAAAGCAATGATAGTTCGGTAGACTGATCCGCCTGGTGTAATTAATACATATATAGATCATAATAATATATTAAAATCACCAATAATGCTCACCTATTTCACGGTGGCCACATGTTAATATGTCCACTGCTTATGTGGCATGCACACATTGATGATGTTGATATGTTGAAAAAAATACATCACCAGTGTGTGAATGACACATAAGCGGCGACATATCAAACTGTGCTCACCGTGGGTAGGGGAGCATTACTCTTAAAATTACTTTTATAAAAAGAGTTTATTATTATTATTATTATTATTATTACACGAATTAAAAAAAAAAAAAAGAGTTTCACCTCAGTTTACTGGAATCTTTATTACAAATAAAAATAAATTAACTAAGGACAAATTAACTAAGTTAATTTGTCCTTAGTTAATTTATTTTTAGAAATGAAAGCCACCTTCTTGAAATAATAAGATAAAACGAATATTAATATAGTGCAAGTAAAATATTAAAAATGAAAAACATACTAAGGTGGCTTAATCACAGACTAATTTGGACTTCAAACAAAACACATATAAATATATATTGTTGGAAATTCAGTGAATATTTTGACACTTCCAATGATATAGTGAATAAAAAATTCATGTCCTTAATAATAACGGTCAAAAAAGCCTGGAAATATATTCCTCAAAAATGTGAAATTATATTTAAATTTGTGATAAACATGTACTCTAGTATCTTTTAAAAGTTATTTATGTTTATTATTTGGAAGTGCTATATATGTAAGGCTGTTTTTATTTTTCATTTTCCCCCCTTTTTGGCATAACAACCTGAATTCACTGACAAAAATGAGGGACTACTTATGATTATATTATCCATTGAATATTATGGTGCAATAATATTGAAATAATTTTTTACGAGATTCTCAATAAACTTGATAAAGACTGCAAACGAGCTGAGTTGAGTAATAACATTGCGAAGCTGGAGCATTTTTTATTTTTATTTTTTTTTCTTTTAGCTACTTGAGTTCAAGTTCGACGAGTCAAAATTTACATAGCTCGAGCTCGACCTGCCAAAAAGAGTTGCTAGCTTGAGATCAGTTCAAAAGTGCTTGAATCAGAAACTCATATCCTACAAATCTCTCACACCATCCAATCAAAATTAGAAAAAGAAAAAATTATCATAAATACACAGTATTTATTGGCATGGGATTATTCAATTTGCTCAGAAAGAGTGAAAATCAAGGCCTTAAATTTCAGTTACATTCTACAACCAATCAGAGCATTAATCTTTAAGCCCACACATAACATCCATCCCCCTTTTCAATTATTAATCCCTATCTATTCCTTAAATTCACAGCAGAACAAAGGTGGTCTAGTTGGCTATATATATATATATATATATATATATATCAAAAATTCTATGGAGCCATCAGATGTCACATTTATGGAGTAATCTATAACTTTATGTACTGACACATGTCCAATATGCATTTATTGCAGGAAACCTGCCAAATACATCATTTGTGAATATAGTGGATGACTCCATAAGCTGAGGCATCCGATGGCTCTATAGTAAAACCGATATATATATATGTGTGTGTGTGTGTGTGTGTGTGTGTGTGAATTTTTTTTATTACATAAAGTTTGTTTTGCAAAAGAAAATGTGGTATTTTTATAGAAATGCTCATCTACTTACGGTGGACACATGTTAATATGTCCATCGTGTAGGTGGTATGCACTCATTGGTGATGTTAATAAGTTTAAAAAAATACATCACCAATGAGTGCATGCCACTTACGCGGTGGACATATTAACATGTGCGCATTGTGGGTAGGTGAATATTTCTCGAAGTTTTAATTGCACCACCTTTTGAAAAGGAAAAGAATGAGCATAGCTGTCCTGTGCCTGTGTTTTTTTCACCAAACACAACTGGATTTGATGAGTTATAATTAGCTGGACATGTATATTTTTTGAGATAAAAATAAAATGAATGTGATTTTAAGTTAAAATGAATTGGACAAAACTCTATTTTTTTTATTTAAAAATGAATAGTTGTATTAATCTTAATTTTAATGCATTAAATAACACAAATCATGTGCATCAACATTAATAATCTCTTAAATTAATTTGACAATCTTCTAGTCTTGTTTGACTCTCTTAATATTTCTTTTTTGTCTTTTTCTTTTCCCTTTTCATTTATTTGACTCTCTTACTATTCAATCAATCCTTCTTTGAATTTTCTTCAAACCTCATTAATCTCCCTCACATTTCACCACCCCACAAGACCAAAAAAATTCCCCTATATTCTCTCACTAATCACATACTAGTTTAATATAATCCAATCATTATTATAATATAACCCCGAAATTAATTTCCCTCTCTAAAAGCAAATAAAATTTAGAAAAAATAGGAAATAAA